GAGTACACTAAGTATGAATAAAGTGGGTGGCGATGTGCTGCAGGATACTTTTAATCCTAAAAAAAAATGCTGTGGCTCAAGAAAGGGTTATGGGAGGGGCTAGTTAATTAACTTGTTACCATTTTTTAACTTTTTAATTTTTATATATATATATTCTTTTTATACTTTTTATTACATTGAAATACGTATTACCATTTTTCAAGAGCAGGCTGGTCTGAGAGTGCTCCAGGATGCTGATCTTGAGGTCTATGTGGTTCTGAGCTCTGGCAAGATTTCTTCTTTCTGTCTCACACTGGTGTGGTGAAGACCTTAAAGACAGAGATCATCCACAGGCTAATTACAGTCTGAAATGGCCAATATTAAAATGGAAATCATCCAATATACAGGCAAGGATGGTTCATTTTCAACCTTGATGGACCGGTTATGTCCGCCGTCTGCAGATTCTTACGAGACTCTTCTTTCTCACCCTCCTCTTCCTGAACAGGGCTGAAGCTCCTGCTGCACTTTGATCCTGAAGAAAAGAAGAACAAAGTAGAAAAGCCTCTTTGAAAGCAGAATTGTTTTATTCTTATCTTAATAATAATAATAATGGATTGCATTTATATAGTGCTTTTCGGGGCCCTCAAAGCGCTTTACAATACCACTATTCATTCACTCTGACATTCACACACTGGTGGAGGCAAACCACAGCTGTAGCCACAGCTGCCCTGGGGCAGACTGACAGAAGCGAGGCTTATCCCATTGTTTTTCTTCATTTTTGCTACTTGCGCTGTCCACTTTCTGCTGTGACACAACACGTGGGACTAATGAAGGTTTATCTTATCTTAGCTTGTATTAATATTATTGTCTACGATGCTCTGCTTTTAATGTTATAGACCACACATGCCAGACTTCAATGACAAAATCTACTATTCTGCCATTCAGAATCCATTTTAAAAGTGTAAAGGACATGATTGTACACAGTTAATACAAACACGGCTGCCGAGCTGTTAATACTGCGAATATAAAATGTGTGAAATAAATAAAGAAATGAAAAATGAAAATAAATGGTATAAAGACAAACACGGCTGGGAAAAAAAAACCACATACTTCAGAAGACTTTATTTGTCCCCACGGGGCAACTAAGAGACTGACCTTGCCAACCGTACATACAATACACAAACATCACATTGGGGAGACAGGTCAGGCTAGGTAGCTGGCCGGTCAGCCGCACGAGCAGCGACCCGGAAACGAACAATGGAAAAATGTACAACATGAGGAAAGACGAGAAGAAAAGAGAACTCCGCCCAGACTGAGCTCCAACAGGGAGATCAGTTTGAGAACAGGCTTGCTAAATTCTCGTTTATATGTTACAAAGAAAATGACCCACCCGCTTTGTTTAGCGTGGCTTCATGCGGTAGAAGCTCCAGCTGTCTCTTCTGCCGGTCAATCTCCTGTCTGAAGCCCGAAGCCTCTTCCTCGTACCCGGCCACCAGTGTGTCCACAGCCGCTAAGATCTCCCGGGAGGCGGCGGCGAGCTTCTCTGTAACAAACTCCCGCAGTGCCTCGGCTTTAGACATGTCAGCCAAACGGTCCGCTGTGTTTCTGCTCATCACCGCAACCACTGCTTTGATGTTTATATCAAATACTTAGTCACTCGCAGCATTGTTTACAATCTGAGAGTGTTTCCGGTTTTGGTGCCCGTTTCATTTTCTCCCACTAGGAACAGAGACCGTCACAAACGTTCCCGGGTCACCTCAACCGTCCTCTTTTGTGCGTCGATGTTTTTACAGGAGCCGTAATAAGCTTTAATCAGTGAGAACGTAAAAAAAACGAGATATCATTATATGAAAATGACGTAAAATGATCTTCAAAGTTTTTTTAATCAATGTATTACAATTCCTTTATCGTTTTCAATTTTAGCTGCATAAAACTGTAAATTTAAAACAAAAAATCGAATAAAAATGTGGGATAAATACATATTGTAAAAAACACACTAACTAGTCCGAAGAAAATTTATTAAGAGAAAAAAGAATCGAAATAGTGAATAAAGTAATGACAATAACTACAGAAACATACAAATAAATATTTTTATTTCACATTTGTTGTGCAGATGCACTTAATGGTGTAATAAAACTGAAACTACAACAATGATATGAAAGAACAACAAAATGACCAATACAGGATTCAAAAGACTACAAAAGGTTGAAAAAAAAAAATATATATATATATATAAAAAAAAAATTAACTAAACTAAACATAAAAACTTATACAAATACAATGCACAAAGTAAAAGCTTTCAGTTTAAAGGTACTGCAGTGGTTAGCACTGTTCCCTCAGAGGAACAAGTTCATGGGTTCAAATATGTCATCTGTGTTGTGGTTGTTTTTTTGGTTTTTTTGTAGTTTCTCTCCAGGTACTCCCGCTCCTCCCACAGTCCAAAGACATGCGGTTAGTGGGGTTAACTAGTAATTCTAAATTCCATTTGTAAATGGTTGTCTGTTTCTCATTGTTAGCCCTGCAAAAGATTGGCAAACTGTTCAGGGTGTACTCCACCTCTCCCTCTGTGGCAGCTGGGATAGGCTCTAGTAACCCTTAGCTGGACTAAAATGTGACTCTAAAAAGAGACTTGATCCTTAGCTCTATCTAAAGGTCAAGTCTCTTTTTAGAACCACATTTTAGTGCAGAAGATCAAAAGTGATGCTCTGTGGTGACAGTATGGATGCCATCATCATAATTGTTGTCAAATCCATGCTTAGGCTGGGCATGAGACTTTAGCATCTGACCTGCAGTCAGAAAAGGTAGAATATAAATAATATAATATATATGTTTTTATAAATAAAATAAAAACAGAATACACACATGAAGAGTTCAGAGAGAGATGAGTTAACTGTCAGCATATTGATTGATCAATGAACGATTCAGAGTGTTACCTGTGGTTCTGTGTCGATATAAAGAAACCAAGAGGAGAGTGGAGATGATGTACGGACAGAACACCATGAGGTACCATATCAATATGAACACAAGTTGGGGGGAGGTGGGCTCAGGTGAAAGAGGTGAGTCAGGAGCAGATGTAGTTATTTTAAGTTTACCTGCAGAGAGAATCCCACCTGTTACAGTAAATATGTGGATAAAATAAGAGGTGAAATCAGAGTGAAGCTC